TGAGAGATTTGTCGTGTTTGTCCTGCTCTTCACGTATGCACTTTTTGAATGTGCTTTCTAACTCACCTTTTAACTTCCCGACGGTTTGCGTCATCACATCGGTGAGATGCTCAGCTAACGAAAGTATATCAAAACTACGCGCTCCGTAATTTTCATTAGCGGTTCTGCGTCTCTTATTTAAATTAGTATTGAGTCTTTGACTCTGTCTCCTCCCGTGTTGCGACGCGTCGAGATTTCCTCGCGCGTCAGCAGCACCGAAATCGAACGATATATCGTTTAAAAAGTGCTCACCTGTGAATTCGGCGCTTGCGGATTCACTGGGAGGGTTTTTATGCCCCTCCGGCAAATCGGCCGATTTTCGATGATGATCGTCCATCATACTAACAAAACCTGGTAAGTGAAAAATTTCACGACATTCTAAATTTCGGATATGCAATTTGTGAGATCGGATAGTGTGCAACAGCTTTCGTGGCTTAGGGGTTATAGCGCCGTGTTAACATGGCACGCTTTAGAAGCGTATCACACCGTCCCGCGGAGGTCGCCGGTTCGATTCCGGCCGAAAGCTTTCTTTTTGAGCTTCGCTCTTTGCGATCACACTTTTTCGCCGTGGCATTTTTAACAACTTTACATTTTACCGTGTGTTTTTTACTTCTGAACAATTATTGAGATACATAACTTGATAATTGGGGGACCATTATCGTCGAAATTCGGCCGACTTGCTGGAGGGGCTTAAAAACCCTTCTAGTGAATCTGCAAGCAGTTTTAAAAGATATATCGTTCGGATTCAGTGATGTAGACGCGCGTGGTAACCTCGACGCGTCGCAACACGAGAGGTCTACTGATTAATACGAATTCACGTTCCTTTGTAAATACCAAAACACGTTTTATTATTGATTGTGAAATATAAATGTTACGTTATATATATGTTGTGTTATTATCGTTCAGATCAACAAATTATCAGCTCCATCACTGGAATCACATATGATACTCCCAACAAGGATCTATACCACTATAAACTGTATCAATGTCTGTTGGGAGTTGATCTTGGTCATTCAGAAACATTTTTGCCATAGAAATCCTAGAATACTTGCCATTATACATACCCATACAAACCGTAATATAATAATAGTCATGTGAGTCATTAGGATACTCCACTTTAGCATGAATTTCTGAGCTATGTAAGAAGACAGACTTCCCAGACCATTACTGTCTCGTGCAAAAGCTTCCAAACTTTGCACGCCTCGATTTTCTGTAAAGTAATACATATCCATGAATAAATGAGAGCTTCGTTTGCTAGCTTCCAACTTCCCCTGGGAGCTGACCTCACGTACGGTATATCATCATTTTCGCGATAGTAAGTTGAATACTCTTTGTCATTAAGAGTATAATTAAGTAGAATATCTCCGCTGTATAATGACAACTCAGGTAGAGAATAATAATCTTTATCATCTCCCTTATTTGACGTGGTATCTCATAAGCTGACTGTGTAGTAAACATGCTATTACTCCCACCATTTCCAGATATCATTATATGTTAAGGTGAGCTCTGAGCGACAAACCCATTGCGCAATCTGTAGGCACCATAAACACCAAATATTACTCCAGCTACCTTAGAGGTAATACGTTCCACTCTATTCTTGATAATCCCATTTTCATCCTTATCGCACATATCCTGGAAAAGGTGCATAGCATATAATGAGGCAAGCCCTGAACGTATGTTCCCAGTACCCGTAGCATGGTCTACATTAGCTATTGTATCCATCCAATTGCTTTCTTGTCTTTTAGCTGATAACCCGGGTTGGGCTTGTGGTAACTGCGGTGCCGATTCTACTAATGTGAAAAGAGGTACTAACAGCAAACAACAGAGTACTGCTAAACGCCCTATATTATGTTGTTTGAACATCATTAAACAAAGGAGGATTTAGTTTTGTTGCATTGAAGTTTAGCATTGGGAAGATATATAGATGTCCCCGTTTATATATCTGAATTTTTTTTTTACAAGAGTTCTTCATCACTGCTTGTTGTGGAAATGTTGCACGGTATGGAGCTTGTAGTATATAGATAGTTTGTATTTCTCGAGTAGCTTTTTCGAGAGGATTGTTGAGGCGTAATGTGAACTGTAGTTGGCTTCTTTTTCGATCCAATTGATTGTATCATTCTGATGTCCTAGGTTTGAGGGTACGTTGTTCCTACGAGTGATGATTTTGTTTCCCCGTTAATTGTTCCAAAGCGTTCAGGTGTGTTGAGTCGTCTTACGTTGGTGAGTAGATCTAATCTGCAAGTGTATGTGACGTCTGAGCCTTGATCGAAAAGTGCGACATCGGAAGGGAAACGTCTGGTCATTGATGTTCCATAGTTCGTAGATGAAAGTTGTGGTTTAATGTTTGGTCTTGTCTCTAAGTTGTTGATAGGGCGATACCTTCCGAATTTGTAAGGTGGCGTTTGTTCATGTATTTATCTTTAAGCTCTGGATGTAGGTGTCCACAATCATTGTCTGTATGTGTATGCGGTGATTTGTCGTGATTTTCTAAACAATATGAACAGAATTTGATATTGATTCGAAGAATTAGATTGTCTGTTGGAGTTTGATCATTTTCTGGATTATTTCTGTCATCTTGTTTATCCGCACGTTCTAATCGGGTTGCCTGGTTAACTGACATATTTTTAGTTGGTCCATTAAGGTTTGTGCGTATGTCGTACTTCCAAACAATCTCTTTGACGAAGTTGTCTTAATTAAATTCCTTCTCTGTTTTGCTGTAGAGTTCATATTTTACTTGTTCTAATTCAAGAGGTAAAGCTTGTACTGCTTGGAGTCTTAGACCTTGCTCTTCTATGATTGGATTTGCCTTTCGTAATTTGTCGAATATGTCTTGCAAGTCTTTGTCAAAATCGCTTACATTATTCCATATCTCGGTTTACTGTTATATAATTTCGTCTGAAAAGCTGGTATGTTTTCTTTTTGTCCAAACCGCCCACCAATGTTTTGGTAGATTTAGGCTATGGGGGGGGGGTTAAAGAGCCTATTTTAGCTGGGTTGAAAACATTTTCTGTAATAGGTCCTAGTACAATTTCGCGTAATTCGGATTTTTTTCGAGGTATATTTCTAAAGCTTTTGCTTATAGTTCAGTATTTTTATCATAGTCTGTTTCCATTTTGTTTTATTTTGGTTCGTTTAATTTATTAAGTCCATAGCATTGCTTTCTGCGATGTTCACATGTAAGGTTTCTGAGTTGCTTCGTTTGATAGTTTGTTTTTCGATTTGAGTCTTCCATAGATAGTATCCACTTTCTTTACTTGATTTCATAAAAAATTTTGAGTTTTGCATTTTAGTTATGATTGCATTGGTCTGTTTTTGAGTAATTGGAGCTGATAAATTGATTATTTGTATAAATCATAACGTAAAATATTTATATTTCACAACCAATAAGCGTGTTTGATATTTACAAACCAACGCTTTCGGAGAAAAAAAATATAGCAAATAAAATCACATCTTGAATGGCATGCATTCCTAACAGCACATCTATTGTTCAGTATGTAGACAGCTATCCAAATCAACAACTTAGATTTCACGACATGGTTGCTGATGTTTCTTTCTCTGCAGCTTGATCGCTCATCGGTGCTCATTAAGCTTTACTAATCTGTCAGCTAACAAAGGTTCTCTACTTTTAAATGTAACGGTTCCTCAAAAGAGCCTATTCTGCATTCATTTGAGTTATCGGTAAAGCAAACTCGTTATTCTGGAATATCATGTACGTAATTAAAACCAAGATAACAATTTAAGATGTAAAGATAATTCTCAATCCTGGATCTGGCATGAGCGATACCAATTGTTTTAATGGTTCAGGCGTCGCTGCTCTTTCGGTGTCTTCCTTTGAATAATATTCCCCACTTGATGCATGACTACATAATTATTCATTAACTTTGCCATTACGGTCAATATAGTATCGGATTCTATACCTTTTAGGGGTACCTTGACATATGTCTCCGTTAGCTACTCTGGTACCATCTATTTTTGATGACAATATCACATTTGACAATTGCATTAAGCCCATACTTGTAAAAGGAGTAGTTTTTGTGTTTATACAGGAAAACTTGCTCCTTTCCTAATCAACAGTCCTCATTAAATGGAGGCGGACATCGTCATTTATCTTAATAGAACGAAAATTCTACTAGAAAAAACTAAACATATGCGTCATGAAGGTGTGGAGATAACTTCAAGGCCGTTAATATGAACTTTTTCATAACTTATGTGACGATCACATGATTATTGAAACCTTCCATGAAGCGGTTCGTGCTTTACATGGTTCAAAGCACAAGATAACATTTGTTGTCCGCACTTAGTTATTCGCCAAGACGATGACGATGAGAAATCAGAAGCATAGGTGTTTCGTATGTCTCTGGACTAGATGTCTCATACGCATGTAATACTATTTCGAGAAAGACAATCGCGAAAAAGTCCAAGAAAAAAGCATCGTTATATCCATGGCAAAATGGGCACATGGTAGTGTATCTCCTTTGTTAACGATGAATAGGAATGAACAAGCGCCGCTATTCTCAGCCCAAGGAGTAGGAAGAGTGCCCCTCCCCCCTGCATCACTTTTCTTTAAATTGCCATCAAATCAGTTATAACCGAGTTACAAAATATACTAGGTAATAGTGATATAGTTCTCAGCACATATAACATTGTAGCATCTTAGATGATCAAGGCAATGGTGGAGCAAGTGAATGTAGTGTTAGAGAGGATTTCGTTGAACAAGCCAAATTGGAACAACCAATAATTACGAAGCAGCGTACATAAACAGATCGCATCGATAAGGACGAACAACTAATAGGAACTGTAAGAAAAGTCGGATGGGTATATAAAGTGTCAATTAGCAATGAATGATATAAGCTTAGACGTAAACCACTAAATTCATTGTCATTTCAGCTCAATTTGTGCTTCATTGATTAAAATTCAAGTCATTTCTTTATATTCGTACTCTTTATCCTGGGGCACTTAAAGTATGTCAATATAGTCAACGGAATTCGCCTGGTTACGATAGTATATGCCGCATTCAGACGCAAATAAAGACAAAGAGACAGTGTGCAATTAAAACCTACATTGTGGGGATCTTACGCTTTAAGAGACTCAAAAGTAATGTAGAGGTACCATGAACGGCTCGAGTAATACGCGCATTGATTAGGTACTTAGTGATAATAATGGACGGGCGTGTTGACTATGAATGATATCACTGTTCTTCCAGCATTGACTTTACCCTCGTATATTCAATTATCTACGGAAGACTGATAAAAGAATGATGACCAATCATTTAGCTAACCAAGCCGCTTGTATCTTGCGGCTAATCTGGTTCTTCTCATACGTGGGAAAATAGTTGGAAAGCTTATCAGATTAGTTTACATTGAGTTTGAAAATTACTTTCCCATGTGTAAGTGGAACCTTATGTAGGGCGACCCCGCTATCCATGTCAAAGAATGTTCCACTGTGCTGTGGTTTAAAAAGTAAACCTAGATTGTATTTCTGAAGTATGTTTGGCCCGAGTAGTGTTGAAGGGATAACTGAGCAGTAAAGGACCTCAGTATCAACCCACTTTATGATACCACCCTGGTATTCCAAGTTTAATTCCATTGTACCCATGGTCGTCAGCTCTACTGGTCCAGTAGTTGTTAGGAAAGGATAAGGCCTTACGCTCTCTCACGTTGGTGAGTAAGTCTCGTCTGTTGGTGCACGTATATTTTGACAACTGGGAGACTACTGCGAGGTCTGCGGTGAATTGGTTTCCAGCGTGTTGAATGGAGACTGTGGATGTGTGATTATCATAGTGCTGTTCTTGATCTTTGATTGCGGATCGCCCTCCAATCCTGTTTAGCTTTCTATTTCCCTTGTGTCGTTCCTTTAGTTCCGGGTATAGGTGCCCACATTCATTATCTGTATGTGTGTGTGGTCTTCTATAGTTATTGCGTGAACAGTAAAAGCAGAACTTAAGACTGATGCGACGCAGCAAATCATTTGCTTGTGTATAATCTACTTCTGAAGTATTATTATTTTCTTCATCTTGCTAGTTAACAGGTTTTAATGATGTAGTTTGATTGACTGGTGTCTCTTCAATTGTTGGTTCAAATATGAGACTGGCATTATAATAATTAATGATTTTCTTGATCAAATCATCGTAACCAAATGTTTGGCTATAGTTTAGATAGAGTGATACTTTCGTCTCTTTCATCTCATCAGGTAACGCTCGTATAGCCTTGTCTTTTTTAGCTTCTTCTCCTATGATCGTGTCTACTTTTTGTAATTCGTTATATAGTACTTCTAATCTCCTATAGAAAACTTTCGCGTCCTCTCCATATTTCAGCGTGCTATTGAAGAGCTCTCTGTGTAGTACTTCCCAGGTTCTAGATATTTCAAAGAAATCTTTGGACTCTTCTAGTAGATTAGATGCGGAATTTTCACGCGTTATGTCGACTTCCTTAGATGTGTGGCTTGAAGTGGATGCCATTCAATGCGAATAGTTTGATAACTTCCTTTTGTTATTCTAAAAATATGAATATATTTTTGATACTTATGGTACTACTTCTAAAGGAAATAAGTTTAATCTTCACTAGTCTCGATCGTTTTGGTTCCTCGATCGCGGCCACGTTCCTGATTATGATACTTCCGTGCGTGACAAATCATAGGCGCTGTATGCTCAGTATCTGTCTGTACCTAAGTCAACATCTCAACTTTAAATTGTTATTTTGTAAATATCAAACGCATTTTATTATCGATTGGAAGAGTAATAAGTATAGTGTGATCTGAAGTAGTTGGCATTTGGTACAAGATATGGTTTCTTACATAGTTGTCATTGTTGCCCGAATATCATCGTTGTTGGCCGTACATTCTTTTTTTTTTTTGCCCCTATATCCATTGTTGTTGCCCGAGTATCTGTGCGTAATTGCCTGGTTCCTTTCTGTCCCTAGCTATTAAATGATGCTGTATATCCAGCTCTACAGCGGTATTCTGACACATCTACAAAACAACACGCACCAAAAACGGTCCATGTGGCATTTTGGGCAAATTTTCACAACATTTTATACACATTTTGGATGCTTGTAAAATGTCCAACAGCTTTCGTGGCTTAGGGGTTATAGCGCCGTGTTAACATGGCACACTCAAGGAGTGTTCACCGGATCCGCGGAGGTCATGAGTTCGATTCTCATCGAAAGCTGTCTTTTTGCGCTTCGCTCTTTTTTCTTGTTTCATGATGGTATTTGTGACACTTTTACATATGCTTTCTACTTTTTGTTAGTTCTTAAGGGTATACATACCTTGATGATTGAAAATATTGGCGACCAAGTGAATGAGAACGAGAAAGACAATGTTGAGGACGGACGAAGTTCCCTTTGATAGATTCTTGGATATAATTGACGAAGGAGTCGGCTTAGAGTCTGATAATGGACTTCTTTATGGCCAATGTACAATCACTGTATTCCATATTTGAAAATGCAGGGCATGGAATAGCATATGAACACGCATGATGATAGTAGTCGCAGTTTGGCCAAACCAGTTTAACGATTATACATTCACCTATCGACGTTAGCAGCTTTTAGAGTGGATAAGAGAGCTTTTGTAATCGTTTTCAAAGGCAATGATCGTGAGTTTATCAGATGACACACCCTTATTTGTTCTACCATTTCTTGCTTACGCCAATTAGCTGTAGTTACTGGTCTGCTATAATTGATAGATTATTAGAAAACAGCTGTAAAGCATTAATAAGATGTTCACATCCAGTTAAAAACGCCCATAACGTCAGATAAACTTCTTAATCAGACGCCACAATGTCGAGAATACGTCTTTCAAAAATCGAGAGTTTAAACTTCGAAGCTGACGAATACACAACTGGTAGGAGACTAGACCCCGTCCTGCAGCTCCAATGCACTGGCAAAGGTAACAACTGCGCTTATCAGCCTGAAAGCGTGCATTGTGAAAATAGGGGATATGACGACTACAGCAATAAAATACAATGGAAATGCACAACCAGCTTGCCCGCCAATCTTAAATTGGGTAAAGTTAAAGTGAACTGTGAACAATGGGACGAAAACGGTGACGTAGATTACATTTTGAAGGGTGAGAAGCAAGCTTGAGGGAGACATATTGTTGACTATTTTAGGATCATGCGCTCTTAAATATAATCTCGTCAGTGTCGACCAGGGAAGCGACAAATCAGCAAGCACATTCTTTGGCGTCATCTTCTTCGTTATTCTGGCCATCATCCTCTACAACCTCTTCTGTGGGGCGAGGAGACGTGATACGATGTCCGGCTCGTCATATGACCCAAATGTTCCTCCGCCGCCGTACACCCCGAAGAACGACCAGTGGAGACCGGGTTTCTGGACAGGTTTGGGTGTTGGTGGTGCAGGCGCACACCTCTATGATCAATTTCAAAATCGTGACAGTCATCATCATTCAGACAATTTCGATTCACGTCCCGGCCCAGCGACACATTACGAGAGCTCAACGAGTTACGGCGGCACAGACACGCGCTAAGGATATGCTAAATGCTATGAATTGTTATGGTGTTGTAAATTGTAATAATGCTGTATTTTTATAAACTCAACTCGATGCATCTATTCCAGTCAGTTGGACATCGCATGTCGATTGTGACTTACAGTAGACGAGTGTTCGTTTTATGTAGAGAAGCATATATCCTTGACTATCAAGGACTGATTTGATAGTCGTTGGCACGACATCTGCGTCTTCGCATCTGAACCACTGGGTGTGTTGTGAGAAACGTCTCGTGAACACAGATATACCCACCTGCTCGCCAAATCGTGAAGCACATGTGTAGTGTCCTGTATCCATTTCACCGAGGTGGTTAATAACGCAAAAGAGATCATAAAGATACATTTCGTCGGGTTCGTCGTCATCTCCCAAAGCGACGTAAGGGCGCATATCGAGGACAAGTGGGAATCGTACGGGTGCGTCTAACTTCTGGGCCCATAGACCATGTTCATATCGCTAAATAGGCGTCATCAAACGTGATCAAGATAAATAAGAAAAGGCTCACTTTTATTTGGAATGCAAGGACTGTCGGTAGTTTTTTAAACGATAGCTGCTTAGTAGATGCTTCGTTCGCTGAGCAACTCGTGCATTTCCAATCACTGTGTTCGGGGTGGGTGTATCGTTTGAGACAATTGTCAAGTGTTTGCGACTCGACTGTTGGGACCGAGCTGCCTTTCCCATTTTTAGGCGCGCCATTTGAGGTATTCTTTGACATAGTCTGGCTGCCCCTCTTACTTACGCCATTCGTGGACGAACTTGGTGTCCCGACATCCAAACTGACATCCAAGAATGGGTCGCTTGTCACGCTTGCGTAGTTGCATTTTCCGCATTTTAGCTCCGATTGTAGCGTTCCCTGGAACGTCTGGTGGATTATACATGAACACTCATCTGAGTGTATGTTTTCTGAAGTTGTACAGCCTGCATGTATGAGATTGAGGACTTTGGATACGTTAGGATGAGTAGCTTGGAAATAACTTCCACCTACGCGAAATATACGCCTCATGTGCATCCTGTTGGGCATAACCTGCGAGGTCACTCGCTCCGGGCGCTGTCCAGAGAGTGTGGAGAAGGGATATAGGTCCAAGTGGTGTAAGATCAGGTTGGTGGACCTGAAATTGTTAGAGAATATTCCTACAAAACACTCATGCCCACCTGCATGAAAAGTTTATCAAACTCGCATGCCATACAACCTTCTTTGGAGCACAAAATATGATTGTGCTTCTCGCTGAGGAAGTAAGACCGCAGGAGCGGATTCGCGATAAAAGCCTGCAAAACAACATTCAGGAAGCATGTTTTACCAAGATTTCTAAATCCTCGTGGTCCTAGGGAATGTTAACAAAATAAATAGAGACACGCAAACCCACTCAAGGCTATCGGATTGCTAAAGACGCCATTTGTGAGTTTGACCTTAGGTACGTCATTGAGCGGTCTGAAACTAGATCTGATTGAGCCGTTGGTGGCTGTAACGTGTAAGTTAGAGGGATAAATTAGCGGATAATTATCCCACTTTTTCTCTTCGTAGCTCGCTCTTCTTGCCTTAGATGCAGCAGTTTGATGAGCTTCTCGAGTCGTGGATTGTATATGTAATCTTTGCATCCAGAACAGAATACATGGCCTGACAATACGTCCATAGCTGGTGATATTGTTAGAAGTTTATCCTATAGACTATCGAACGTACAAAAATTGTGATTCTCGGCTGAATGCGTCAATAGACTATCAAAATGAAAGCAATTAGCGCATGTTAAACACAATTGCGGTCTTGTTAGTAACTTCTGTGACAATTTACACCTTGTCGTCGTCTAAGTTGTCAATATCAGCACGTCAGTTCTAATGTTGCGATTTCATCCACCTTAGAAGGAGTAGCATGGAGTGTGTATATTCCCCAGTTCACACCTAGAGTAAGCTTGCGGAGGAAATCTTTCTTCTCCAGCTCAGATTCTATGTGTGGACAAGTCATTACTTAATCAAGAAGGAAAGAATGATAAAATATGGGATAGATAATATTACAATACTCAAATCAATAGAGTCCCGACTACTGCCATGATTGTAGTTAATAGAAGTGCACTCAATGTCGTGCCAGCTGATCCGCTGTCTTTTGTGTGCATCATATCCCAGTAGTCATCCCTGAGGGGTGTTTTAGAGGGTGTCTGGAGGCTAGATCGATATCACTCACATGCTCAATATAGTTGGTGAGCTTGTTCCTGTTGGTTCTGTATTCGATGCTGTATCTGCTATTGTGTTAGCTTCCGAATAAAAAAGACATAGAAATACACACCCTGTAGAAATATTAGAGAAACACATTATATACTAGCATACTCACCGTGTTTGTAGCTGTATTCGCGCTAGTAGATGTTGCAGATGGGTTTATAGTTGAACTTAAATTGGATTAGACAAAGGAGGAAGATACATACGTATACTTACAGTGTAGTAGATGTGTATATAACGTCGTTTGCATTATATCTACCCAACTCAGCGAGTTATCTCAGTTTATAAAGCCACTCACTGGTAATCGACAACATAGCTTTGTGTTACACCGGGTACTGGGGCTGTAGTGACTACCTCTGCGTATACAGAGGCTAAAATTGCAGCGATAACTAATTGGATTTTCATTTCAGGATGCAAAAGAGCATATCACTTTCCCAATTGGGATCTAACTAGTGCATAGCAATCACTTTCCAAATTAGGAACTAATTAGTGAACGTATGGCTATCGAGGGATAATGAAATGGGTATATATTAATTATTACATGTGTCTTCTATGAAGTGTATAGATCTAGATCTACACTATCAATCCCCTACATCTTGTTCAACCTCCATCAGGGTCTTCTGTGATAAAAATGGGCAGTAGATGGGATAGATCAAATCCTGCATCAGCAGCAGGTGTGTATACTTGTATTAATATTCCACAGCCTCTAACACTCCGTAGCGGCTGCTGCAGCCAAGTTGTCTTCTCAATACGGTGGTCCTAGAGAAACAGATGCACCATATTACACGCGCATTGAAGTGAACGATTTGAAAAACAGATACACACTCACGAAATCAGCCACCCAACAATCAATATACGACGAGACTGGTGCACAAGTATCAACTAAAGGACAATGGTACCCAGATAAATCAAGAGCTACTGCAGCTGATCCACCGCTATACCTTCTCATTGAAGCTCAAACTCAGGATTCATTCGATATGGCGGTAAAAAAAGTGCACGAGTTGAAGGACTCTGAATTGCAGCCACTAGTTGAAGACAGAAGTCGTAAATTTGAGGAGAGGGCAGCTACCCGTCGCAAATGGGATGAGTTCAAGGTATACCTCAACATGGAACCACTGAGGAACTTCAACCTGAGGGCTAAGATAGTAGGACCCGGTGGTATGTTTGTAAAGTACATCCAGCAGGAAACGAACACAAAGGTGCAGATAAAGGGACTTGGTAGTGGCTTTTTGGAGCAAGATACCGGTGTAGAGAGCCAAGAAGCGATGCATGTGAACATTGCAGGGCCAGATCCTTCACAGTTCACCTATGCGCGGGAGTTGACAGAGGATTTGATAGCTGCTGTTAGGGGAGAATGGGAGAGAGTGCAAGGAATCGTGCCAGAGGTGCAGCAACAAGCTGACCAAAGCCAGCAATATGGAGATATGCCAGCAATACCAGATCCTAACGACAAGGAAGCGGTTGAAAGGTATAACCAGTACTGGACGAGCCACGGCTACGATGTGAACGACCCAAGTTTCAAGGAATGGCAAAAACAGCAAGAGGAGTACTACGCACAATATTATGCACAATATCAGCAGCAAGCAGGACAAGAGCAAACAGGATATCACGCTGTACCGCCTCCAAATAATTTATGATGAATGAATGTTTATTGATTAGCTAGTATAAAGAGTCTGAGGGGTGCATAATAATATAAATAGCAGATAGCAGTATAATATTTTTAAATGTAATAATAAAATATAATTTTTAAAATTTACACTCTACGAAATCCTGCAATCAGGCTTCTCTTTCAACTCAGCAGCTCCCGTTAGTCAAAAATATTTTAAAAGCGAGAAAAAGCTAATAAAAAGCACAGATGGTCAACGTTCGCGACGTCTCCGCCCCAAGCTTCATTGAGGCCTACTCTCAACACTTGAAGAGATCAGGAAAGATCGAGATTCCTAACTGGGTTGACATTGTCAAGACTGGCTCACACAAGGAGCTTGCACCATACAACCCAGACTGGTGGGTGGACAGAGAGCCGCTATATCACTTCTCACACTCCTTAGGTACTACGTCCGCGCTGCTGCAGTCGCACGTCACGTCTACCTCCGTAAGTCAGTCGGCGTCGGTGCTCTCGTCAAGTTCCACGGTGGTGCTGTCAACAGAGGTCACCAACCATACCACCACAGAGCAGCTTCCCGTGGTGTCGACCGTAGAGTCGTCCAATCATTGGAGAAGATTGGTGTCTTGGAAAAGGCTGTCGACGGTGGACGCAAGATTTCACAAGACGGTATGCGTGATCTTGACCGTATCGCTGCATCAATCGTCGCTGCAGGAAATGAAGAAGAATCCGAAGACGAGGACGAAGACGATGACGAGTAAATGTATAGCTGTTAGTTTATTGTATAATCTAGTAAAACTTTCAGATTTTATATATTTACATTGCACTTTTATATATTCTTGTATGTTGTCTGCATTGGCTGGGGATGATCAAATTAGGAGTACGCTGAGCGAGTTAGACGGCGTGAATAAAGAATTAGAATACGCCTTACGAACGCGTGGATGTGCATTGATAAAAAGGGCTGGTATCTTGTCTGATTTGTAGGTGGACAGTCGCTTTAGAATATACGCCAACAATAACAGACCACAGGCGACGATATGCACAGCACAGGTGCTTCTACAGCGTTTTTACTACGTCAGCTCTCTATACCACTTCTCTATACAGGTGAGTATGCTGTCTATCCGCCCACGCACCCTCAAATACCACAGGATATTGCTATCGGCGCATTATACTTATCATCAAAGCTAGAGGAAACTGAGCTGGGGATACGCGATATAATAAATGTATTTCACAGGCTAACCAACAGCCAAGCGGATGAGGAATACCAGCCAATGTCCTACTACGGTCCAACCTATTACGAATGGAAAGACAGCCTCGTAGTGGCTGAGATGCAGATCCTCAAAAGGCTAGCTTTTGATGTCTACGTGAGTCTTATCTCAGCATCACACAACAACACCCTAAACAAAGAATACAGGTACAGCAACCCTATGCATTACTAGTAAACTACATAAACGTACTCGATTTGAGCAGTAACCAAGGATTATCTCAACGCGCATGGTCATACCTTAACGATAGCCTTCTCACACCCGCAAACGCGATATTCAGTGCACCAACTATCGCATGCGCCTGTCTGGATCTAGCCTGTAGAGATCTCAGTGTGGCTCTCCCAACTACCTCGGATGGATCTACCAGCTGGTACGAACTCTTTGATTGTTCACTGGCCGAGATGGAATGCACACAACTCTGGATACTACGAACGTACGCAGCTCTCAACAGTGAAGTCTATCAAGCAACATCTAAATTAATATCAAAGTATAATTTAAGAGAATATCTAAAATGAATCTATTTTTTCTTATGTTTCAGCTTCTTAGCTTCCACAGTCGAGGATGAAGTCTGTTGTGGTGGTTCTTCATCTTCACTGCTGCTATCACTATCACTGCTATCACTCGTACGCTCATCTGATGAATCTGCAGTCCGTATTGGAATTTTTGCCTTCTTAGCTACTCTGGTGTCATCTACTGGTGCGTTATCGCTATCACTCTTCCTCCGCTTTTCAACCTTGCTTTTACTTTTTGTTCTGTGTATGTCGAGCAAACTTGCGGTCAATGTGAGCATTTGGTTGCTAGTTACACGCTCAACGACAGTAAAGTCGAGCTCGCGATCAACCTCCGCAAGCACCTGAGTGGATGATTTGTGAACCCATCTACCACCACTTCCTGTCTCAGAAGAATCACTTGCGTACTTGAAATTATCGCAATCGATGTACTCTCGTGGAATAGTAACGTTGAAGGTATGGTGTACGAGTAAACTAATGTGATCTGGTGAACAGAGTGTTACTTTACCGCCTGTTGTTGTATTAGTTGGGGCATCAGCCTTCTAAGAAGCTATACGCACGCATTCGCTGACCATTCGTCGGTGACCAAACCAAGGCAGTGAACTTTACGTCTGTAACGCTAAATGGACTCTCATCGAGAATTAAACCGGCAGATTGTGAGAATTGTGTATTTATGTGTGTGAGTAAAACTGCACCCAAAGCTGGAACGTATCTGGAGACGAGGGATTAGATAAGCTACAATAAGAAAGCCTATCCCACCTCATAACTAAACTATCAAGCATCTCAGTCGCGCCGCTTTTAGGGTCATTTGAGAAGACTGGTGGGATTGATAATCTGAGTGAAGTTTCTATTATTTTGTAAGCGCTGCTTGGAGCGTTGTCACCGTTAGTTGGTATTTTCCAGCCATCCTCGTCTATATAATAATCCGTCATTTTTTAATGTGATACGTCTAAAGGAAGGAGAACAGCGTTGAAATAAACAATCAACTGGAATTTAAAAAAATAATGTTAGGATTAAGAACTGTATTTGGACAAGCTACAAGAGTTTCCAGACAATCCAGACCTGCCCTCTCTATCGCTAGAAGAGGATACGCTGAGAAGAAGGAAGAAGTTAAAGAAACGGCCGAAAAGAGCGACGATGCACTCTCAGCAGCAAAGAAGGCAACTGAAGAGGCAGTAGAAGCGCAGAAGCAACTCCAGGTGTGTTCTCCTCCGTTCTGACAACTTGCAATAACACAAACGATAGAAAGACTTGCAATATGCAGCAGCAGACTTCGCTAACTTACAAAGAATTGGCCAGAGAGAGAAGGACCTTGCACTCGAAAAAGGTGTCATGAAATTCGCCAAGAGTATCCTCCCTACTCTCGATATCCTTCCATTGGCACTCAAGAGCGTACCAGAGGAATCACTCACTCCTAATGAAAGCGCAGATCGCAAGAACCTTATCATCCTCCACGAGGGTCTTGTCATGTTACAATCCAACCTCCAGAAAGCACTCAAAGAGAATGACGTTGAGCCTGTCGATCCAACAGGAGAGCCATTCAACCCTGACCACCACGAGGCGCTCTACCAGGCTCCTATCCCTGGCAAAGAACCAGGCAGTGTTTTGGAATGCTCAAAACTTGGCTACAGCTATAAGGGAAGAGTTCTCCGTGCAGCACAAGTCGGTGTTGTACAGGACACTAACTAAAGGATACTAATAGGCGCCAAAGGAAGCACGACTATAGAATGAAATATGAAAATTTTTGAATATAAATAAAACCAGCAATCATCACCACTTTTAATATCTTAATACAATTATGCATTCATGTTTGTCATTATCTAATATTACAGTTGTACCCTTATACGCTGTCGTCGTGGAACTAAGTTAATGTTATTACTGGTTATGTCAGTGGAAGTAGCATACATACCTCCCATCTCGTCTGTAATTATGTTGGTTGCGACCCCTTGTAAAGAAAATACCCACCTTCTTAGGATTCTCTGGTGCTCTCGCGACATATCCATCATTGTCCGGTGGACGTTCTTTGCTTTTACATGAAGTAAGCACTTAAGTGGTTTAAATGGTTTTCTTTTTCATTATATTCACCTACTCGATTGTATAGTAAGACAAACTGCAGCTACACTGTGTCGTCTCAGTATGTCTCGTGAGATTCAAGAAGCCACTCACTTCAAAACTGGACTCCAGCCATCTGAGAGAATAGAAGCGCAGATCTTGAAGTATGTCAGCTGACTTCACAAGGAAAGACGATACGCACATGTCCATTGGAGTAGATGTGAGGATGCACCGGACTGAGATAGCCCTTAGTGTTATTTACTATGAATTGCACAGCTGGTGAATCAATTGGGTACTGATCTGAGAATCTAAACATCAGTGCGAACTTCTCGCCCTTGTTGTACGTCAGGAGATCCGATACAGAGCGTCAAGGAAGACGAACCTGGTAGATACTGTCGTAGGCTTCCAGTTCAAAAGTCCATTTACGTAGATCGTCTGATTCGAGTAATGTTATGCCTGTAACGAGTTGAGAAATACACCAGCAAGTTGAGAGATCATACCAGCTGGACAGCCCTTATCTTTGAGATCTTTCAATTCCTTCGTTAATCTCTTCGTTGACAGTTGACTCATATCTTTTTTCTATCACTTCTGATAGTCGACGACGACGACGCGCCTTGATAGTGGACGCTGAGAGTTCTATTAAAAATGGAACCAGATGACGAAGATCACAAAGAGAATATAGGTGTGTAGTTGAATTCTCATTATATCCACAGATCTCTAAAATAGTTCTGCGACTAGAGATGGATGAACAGGGTGATACCTTCAATAGATTACGAAAGAATCAAGACAGCTATGACCCAGATCAGGATAGAAATCTCAAACGCTCTATCAGGAAAGGCTACAGAAGTCTTATCGACAGGGCAGAAGAACACAGTGTCGACGTCGCAAACGTCACAGCGAAGGAGCTTTCAGCGGAGATGATAAAAGCTAATGATCTATATGATAGTGTACGAGCACCCCAGGAAGCAACACTTGATAGTCATTTCCTTATAGTACAATCTGAAATGTCAGCAGCCAAAGCACGCGCTATGAAAATTGATGCTGATTGTTTTGACTTGGATGAATTCCTCAACCGTATGCTTAGTGTTGGTGGTGGATTTAGCATCGATGACGATGTAGATAACGAACAGACTGGATCTGGAATAGATTGGGATAGTATTGGTGATATCGCACTCAAGCACACCCGTAGAGTCCCAGTGGGTGATTTTATGTGGGTGAATATCTCTTAAAAGAAGTATTATCGCTTAGACACACACCCAGGCTTGGTGTTATACCTGCAGAAGAAAAGAAAAAGCAAAAAAGGACTGTACAGCGCATAAACAAGAACAATGAGGAGAAAACAGCACCAACTGAGGTAAACATCTTTGCTACTCACCAGTAATCCCGCCTAACACCCTTTAGATACGCGAAGAAGACATTCAGCGAGCTGAAAATGAAACAACAACAAATGTGAAGAATATCTCTAACTTACTAGAAAAAGTAGGTGGTGATACAGGAATAAATCTCTTCAAATTCTTCATAAATCCAACCAACTTCGCTCAATCTGTTGAAAATTTATTTTATGTTTCATTCTTGATAAGAGATGGACACGCAAGTATAAGCCAAGATGAAGAAACGAAGGAGGTAATATTGCTAGCCTGTATGGCACCAACCCAGGAAGACTACAAAGAAGGATTGAGCAAAGAGCAAAGCGTATTCGAGTTTGACATGGAAACTTGGAATTTAGCAAAGGAGATGTACGATATAACTACATCTATAATACCTACACGTGAATATCAAACAGATACCATTAAATTTAGACGTTGACCCGTAACGATGATCATTCTGGTCGTTATCGCACTTTTGACATTTTTAATTCTAAGTAAACCAGTGAATAAAAAGTTTAAATATAATAAAAAATTGAATAAAGTATATAAAAACAATCTAAACAACTTTAAATTGAAATGGACGACGCCGGGCGTGCGTTATTTGGATTACAAGCTATTCAGTTTAGTTGTCGTGGATGATATAGAGATATATCTAGGTATTTTTAATCAGTTTTATAAATTGTACAGTAAAGAAAGCGATACAGCATTGGACGTAGAATTCTCGAGTATAGATAGTCGGTTGGACGAGGAAATAAATAAAAACGAGCAAGATATAGATAAATTAAACAATCAGCTTGGTAGTTTTAAGCATCTCTCAAACGATAGCCTATTGGAGGAGCTAAACCAGCTGAAATCCATAAAAATACAACAGGATAAGGATAGACTGAATGTAAAGCATCAATTGAAGTCATTACAGGATAACTTTTACCTCCTCAATAGAAAAAATGAAGCAGAATCAAAGCAACTCGATATGAGAGTGAATAGTCTGAATGATGACATCAGCCATTATACCTCAGATATAGAAAGTCATAGTAACACTATAAGTAGAAATAACGAGACACTATCGAAGCTCACGACGAAGGATTTGGATGAGGATATACACGTCAAACAGCTCTCCATCAACAATCTAGAAATGGAACTACAGCAGCTATCTAAACAGCAGAAGCAATTACAGAATAATCTAAACTATCATAAAAACAATTCACCGCCACTAACGACTAATTTATTACCTTCGCAATTATTAGACGATTACGAGTAATTCGCTTCTTCAACTAAATCCATCATGTCATCAAACACACCAGACCCAATAACATTATCACTTTTCTCTAATAGATTCATTAGCTGCGCTGAGGCTATGTCAAAATCGTTAGAGCAGACATCTATTTCAACTAATATTAAAGAAAGATTAGATTTCTCGTTTGTAGTAAGCTGTTATATTGATATCACCTGACTAGTAATTTTAGATGCGCTGTTTTCTCACCAATAGGTGATCTTATCGCTAATTTCCCAAATATACCTGTACATTTGGGTAAGATTCTTTATTTTTCTCTTCGCTTATCTGACCCTGATATCAGGTGCAATGTCATAGTTCGTCTATCTCGCTTAAGTTTGAATCAACTGATAAAATAATCTAGCGCAATTAAATACCAATTAAATTTACATAAAAATGATTTGCGTCCAGGTGACGTCTTATTGACTAATTCACCTATCGCTGGTGGTTCTCATTTACCGTCAGTAACTTCTTTTTACTTTTTTGAGCATTCTCTAATTGTTTCACAGGGATATCACAATTATCACACCATGTTTCGATAAAGCAACCAACGAAATCATCTTCTTTACAGCTTCACGTGGCCATCACAGTGATATTGGTGGTATTCTTCCAGGATCTATGCCACCGAACTCTACATCATTAGAGGAAGAAGGTGCTGAGATTGTTTCCTTCAAATTAGTCCAAAATGGTCGTTTTGATAGTGAGACACTTTACGATTTACTAGTTACCCAACCATCAAAAGTCGAGGGCAGCTCAGGATGTCGTAATTTCAAGGACGTTCAATCGGATTTAAAAGCTCAAGTTTCTGCAAATCACAAGGGTATTCAGCTTTTGCATCTTCTCTGCAAGGAATTCGGTTTGTCCATGGTACAAGAATATATGTATCATATTCGCAATAACGCAGAGTATGCAGTCCGCAATCTCCTCAAGACGGTTGCAAGATCAACTGGTAGAACAACCCTTTCTGCCACTGATTACCTCGATGATGGATCACCAATTTCCTTAACTGTTAAAATCGATGAGATTCACGGCAGTGCAGTATTCGATTTCAACGGCACAGGTCCAGAATTACGCGGTAACCTGAATGCACCAATATCAGTTGTTCATTCCGCTGTTATTTATTGCGCAAGATCAATGTTGGGTGTCGATATACCATTAAACAGTGGATGTTTAGCACCAATCGATATAATTATACCTGAAGGTTCATTATTATCACCATCACCAGAAGCTGCAGTTTGCGGTGGTAATGTAATGACTTCCCAGAGGGTTGTCGATGTAGTTCTTAAAGCCTTCGAAGCTTGTGCTGCAAGTCAAGGATGTTGTAACAATGTAACATTTGGAGCAGGTGGTAAAGATCCAATTACAGGTGAGATCAAACCTGGTTGGGGATACTACGAGACTGTAGCAGGTGGATCCGGTGCGACTAAAGACCAGGATGGTGTTAGTGGCACACACGTACATATGACTAATACACGTATCACTGATCCTGAAATATTAGAAAGACGCTACCCAATTCTTCTACGTAGATTCGAATTTAGGAGAGGTAGTGGCGGTGTTGGCAAACACAGAGGTGGTGATGGTGTCATTAGAGAATATGAACTCATGCAACCACTTCAACTGTCAATATTATCGGAAAGACGTGTAACCAGACCATATGGTTTGCACGGTGGGGGTGACGCCCAACCTGGTCTGAACTTATGGTTGAAGCAACCAAAGAAGAAGGCAATCAGTAGTGGATCTAACACTGACAAACCTAGGATTATTAACTTAGGTGGAAAGGCCTCAGCGAAGATGAGCAAAGGTGATGTATTCATTCTGTTAACACCAGGTGGTGGTGGCTACGGACATCCAAGCGAAGCGACTGATGACGCACCATCTAGAGCTTCTTTAGGTCTTACAGAGGACTTCACTCCCCGTGGAAGTGTATTCGAAAGACACTCACTCGCTGCATCAAGTGCTTAAGAATGTTTCTTTATATATACATTTTCATTATGACATTAAAAATTACTAAGCTGCTATGTGTTCCCTCTCAAAACGTTCTTCGGCATCCTCCTCTAGGCGAATCCTGTGTAGCTCTTCGCGACGTTCAAGGAAGCGACTCCAAGCTGCGTTCCCGATGAGTGACAGAGGGAGTAGTATCCATCCCGCAACAGCGACGAAATTCACAAGAAATGGTTTAGGATGACGAAGGAATAGTGCGAGAAGAACCCTATATACGTTAGTATGATCTTCTACCAGTAAGGTGACAAAACCCACCACATATGAGACAACATCCAAATATGGTCACGTTTGACTAGTATGATAGCACATCCTAGTAATATTGGGACCGCAACACTAATCATCGCTGGTACTTGATGAAGTGAGAACCTCCAGGTAGGCGTGCTAAGCCAATCAAAAGCTATGAATGCAGATTGTTGAAGCTCTACGCCAACTGTAACAACTGTCCACATGCGTATTGGGATGTGAATAAAGAAGTAATCTAATGGACGTGTCTTATCTGGCAAATGTGTAGCTCTGCATAACCAGACGTACATACTGAGTAAATTGATCGTTTGAAGTGACATCATGATAGAAGATAATGTGAAAGAGCGCAGAATCTGTTGAAATCATCAGTATAGAATGATATAGCTATCTCTTCCTCACCCAAAATATCGCCCAGAGTGAATGTAAGACGTGTGATATGACATATTGGTATCCTAATGCATTAGCTAATGTCATCTGGGTAAGATCCTTCTGTGATCCTACGAAAAGAAAGCAAGTTCCAGCTTGTAAAGCATAAAGAACAATCCAATAGAAGCCTACCATTGAGGACTGTTGCTGTAAGCAATAGACAGATTATACTACTATAAAGCTCACCTTTGGCGTTAGGTGCGTGTAAAAATCGTCATTAATATCGCCCAAGCTGGGTGATATTCCAATAGCAGTTATAATTGACACAGCAAGTGATGTGAATGCGCTCAAGGGCGCCACACCTCTCAAAACTAGCAATTTGCGTTGTATATATTGATTCTCTCCCGTTGTTTCTATACTATCCATCCTGATAGCTCACTGATAAGAGGTGACGCTTTCGGCTTGGGCGATGACGTACAATCTAAAATTACACATAAATTACAATTATTTTATAAATGAATAAATTCCTTGACGATTGGATGGTTTATAGCTAGGACTATGTATCCACCTGTCGCTATAAGAAGCCTGACAGGTATCCAGGGGAGTACGGCAGTCGTCATTGTAAGCGCTATAACTACATACTTCAAAATATCTCTGCTGGCTTCCTCGTCACTCCAATTCAGCTTTTTGTAGATAGGCATAGTGCCATCAATGACCTCTGTGGTTGTACCCATCAAATTCTGGATCGATTGCAAATTCATATAATAGTCAGGACTCGTTGGTTCAGGCATCTTGGGCTCTGGTGGTGTCTCTTCTGCTTCCCTATCGTTACTTCCATAACGTATAGCGTGATTTCTAAGTAGAAGAACGAGGAGTGCGATATGCGGTGTTAACAAGACCAAACGTGGATAAAGACACAACAGAGTCCACACGAGTATTGTCAATATTGTCCTGTTAGTTGATCGCCATAAGATAATACCTTCGATGTTGTCCAATATCGCAAAAATCGGCCCAGTCTTTTGTACGAAGTTGCGAAAATTTACGGACTAATGAGTTATTAATAGGGTGTCTTTACAGTCGCAATACTACGTACCGTCGTTTGTAAATTCAAAGGAGCCTTGTGCGTCGTTGTATCTGGTGGTGGTTGGCTGAATGATACACTGCTCAATAGGGAGGATGTCAGGAAGTTGGCGAGATAGCTGTTAGCCTGCTTAGCGCTTGGTGACGCTGGAGTTTCTGAGTGCGTCAATCCATCATCTGGGTCTTTGATCTTCCTTGCGTTCGCTGGTATCTCTACTACTAGCTCCATGATGGATGTCGATAACAAAGAACGGAATGGGTAGTAAACGAAATGAAATAATTAATATGTTGACGTATGCTTGAAAATGAAATTAGATGCTTCGTAATAATTTCGCCTTTTGTTCATTATAACCGGTGGAATAGACGAATTGATAAGCGGTGTATAGGTAAATTACGTATTATTTAAACTAGAATCTATTTATAGGCACCAAATACCCCCATCATCGAGGATTCAGCTTAATAGGTTTTATATGAACAATACTGTGTCAGGATCGGGAACCCAAACTTAAAGCGATAAGAGCATCATGCTGAGACCTTCATGATATTTTGCTAATCCAGGTTAGTGCTTTAGAACAGCACATGACTAACTTCCTAAGTGAATGGATCGGCTTCTTCCTTTCTCTGATGGTTTAGTATCTTAGAAGATCAACAATGGCTTTATCTAGCATATAAAGATATGCTAGCACAATTATACTCCATCCCGTTTGTTTACTCGCTAAAACATGTCTCCTCCCTTTGGATACTGTCTGATAACACTAGACGACGTACATATCAGACGACAGAAAAGTGTCGCACAAAGACATATTACATGATGAAACATTGATTCTACCTAATATATACGTCTAAATACTTATATGTTATGTTTCGTGCCTTTCGCAATCCGTACACATCAGCATTCGAGTATACAAGTGTAGACTTGCAAAACATTACTCAAAACGTAGAACAATGCTAAAGTGTCACAGTGGAAAAAAAGCACGATCGCAATGAGCGACGCGCAAAAAGAAAGCTTTCGATGAGAATCGAACTCATGACCTCCGCGGATCCGGTGAACACTCCTTGAGTGTGCCATGTTAACACGGCGCTATAACCCCTAAGCCACGAAAGCTGTTCTTCAATGTTAGCCACAGCTGGTCTTAATGAGATTCGGCCAAGTTGCATCACAGCACTATATCATGAGAGTCAGTCTCAATCCTATTTCTCATTCAATATTATCATCTTACTTAGCGTTCTCGCTTCCCAATATCCTACTTTACTTACTTGATCCCCTTATCCTACGCGCCTCTCAAATTCAAAATCACCTCAGCCACTAATGCGCGTCATAATATATACACATTTTGTAAGACAACAACTAAGACACCATATATATTTCATATTCCTTTCTCTGGACTCCTAATTCTTCCTCCCAGTCTAGGATATTAGGTCTCTCAGGTTAACAAGTTATCAGCTCCAACACCACTGGCCCACCGCCCACATGATCATATAAACGTANAAAACTACCACACTTAGGAAA